TCAGATGGTTAATCCACAACCATCATGTCAGGGAGCATGGCAGCAAGCAAGCAGGCCAAACATTGAACATTAGCTGAGAATTAACTGAGAAAGAACTAACTGGGAATGGCATAGGCTTTTAGAACATTAAATCCCACCCCCAGTGACACCTCCAGCAAGGCCAAACCTCCTAATCCTGCCCAAACCGTTCCACCAATTGGAGACCAAATATTTATATGAGCCAAAAGGGCCCATTTTTTTTATTTAAACCACCACATATAGCTATAGATATGGTTATATGATATACATATATTTTGCAGAGATGTTACATTGAAAATAAATCAACTCAATTTTTTTCTGGTGTATTCATGAGGATTTTAGTCAGCAGCAAACCGTATTATTTTGGAAATACACAGGGTTTTCCTGTTAACCCATAAAGGCATTGAATTCATGACCCTCCTGTGTTAGTTTCGGGAGTGCTGGGATTATAGACATGCATCACAGCCCTGGAAAAGTAAGGAATTGTACTCTCTCCTTACTTCCAATATGAGCCTCTTCCCAAGGTGACCCCCAAGTCTCCCCTGTGTTTGACCCAAGGAGTCTGGTGAAGGCTCTGTCCCACAGGGTGTGCTCTGTAGCCATCAGGACAGCCACAGACTCTTCCCTGTCCAAAACTCACAGTGGAGAAACTTCTTTCTGATGGCTGAATAGCAGCTGCTTCAGAGCTCTTTCAGAGACAGAAGAGCGTCTCTCCCTTTAGGGAGCAGCCAGCCATTTAGCCTATGGTATCCACTTCTCAGGCCCACTGACACTGACAGATTTTGCTCTAACTTTTTCATAACTGAAGGCTCTGAACCAGCCAAACTGAAAGAAAAGCTCAGAGCAGACACCATTTAACTTCCATGTCCCTCGGCTTGGTGTAGGATAATGGCAGAAGTCTGAACTTGTGCTGGTCTCATCCAGCCACAGGCTGAGAGCAACGCACACAGTTGGATCCGTTGCTCTCTGCAACGAGGGAGGTGCACATGGGGAGTCAGGGTGCCTCTATAGAGCAGGGTTCCCAGTCTTGGGGTTGTGACCCCTTTGAGAGTTGGAGGACCCTTTCACAGGGTCCACATAGCAGATATCCGGTATATTACATATTGACATTACAACAGTAGAAAAATTACAGCTATGAGGTAGCAATGGAAATAATTTATGATGGGGGGGTCACCAAAACATGAGGAATTGTATTAAAGAGTTGCAGCATTAGGAAGGGTGAAAGCCGCTGCTGTAAAAGGAATATAAAGGGTCTATTGAATGCAGACTGTGTCAGATTGTTTAATTCAAAGACGTAAAGGTCTCCTCTGTGTCGGACATTGTCCGGAATAGGGACTGGGAGAGCTAGAGAGGGGGCTTAGTGAGTAAAGCACCTACCAAACAAGAATAATGACACAACTTTAGAGACCCTGGCACCCACATACAGAATTCAAGTGTGGCAGCGTGAACTTATAATCCCCATACTAAAGAGGAAGAGATGAGAGGAGAGCTCCCTGGCCACCCAGTCTAACTGATTGGTGAGCTCTATGTCCAATGAGAGAGCCTATCTCACAAAAAAGATGAGAGAGATAGAGGAAGACACCTCTGCCCTCTAAATGCACGTGCGTGCACACATACACTACAAAAAGAAAATTAACAACAACAAAAAAATAATAATAAGGAGTGAGTTCATGATTGGAAAAACCCTCTTGTCCCTCTTGTGCATAAAAAGAAATAAGCTGAAGCTAAAACTCTAACTGGTGATGAGTCAAAACCCAGTGGCATTGTTCATGATAGGGAGCACCAGACACTTCAGTGCTTAAGCGATGCCTGGGCTCCTGCCACACACTGGACAGTGATTACAGACTCGATCCTTCACAGTACAATGGGTAGGTCTGGGGCAGACATTCATGTTCTGCCAGGAAACTCCAGCCCCAGTGTCAAATCACACACAAGCCTCTAGCCATCCAGATGCCCAGCTCATGGGGTGAACCTGTACCTAGCTGTCATTTTTACCAGTTGTAAACAAGCAAAACCAGGAAATATAACCTAATCAGTGTGAGCACGCACAGATTCCCTGAGGATCTGACATTCTAACTAACAGTCTGAAATGCAAAGATCTCTTTTCACTATGGTCCCAAGAGTTCATTTAGCCTTTTCTTGTGCTTTCTTCTCCTCGTGACACTATTATTTCTTACAAATGTTATGCTTGAGAAGTGAGAGCCAATGCTGACTTCCCACACTGTTCCCAGCCTTCCTAAAACCAGAGAACATCCTACAGCCCTGGCACTTCTGTCCATAATGTCACATATAAATTCTTGGGAAGATAACAGAATATGACAATGCAGCCACTCCTGATGAGATCTGATAGACTAAGATCAGAAGGAAGGAGAGGAGAACGTCCCCTATCAGTGACTTGGGGAGGGACATGCGTGAAGAAGGGGGTGTGAGGGTGGGATCGGGAGGGGAGGAGAGAGGGCTTATGGGGGGGGGGATACAAAGTGAATAAAGTATAATTAATAAAAATTTTTAAAAAATTACCCCAAAGAGTAAATAATAAAGAGTGCACATATTTTAAGTGAAATCAAAATGTTTAAAGACAGTGTAAGATTGTTGAATGGGAAAACTGAAAAAGTAATAATTTTAAAAGTTGTATGTAGAGTAGAATATTTTAAAAAATTAATAGCCAGGGATGGGAGGAGAGCTCAGTTATCAAAGTGATTGTTTTGCAAATGTGAAGAACTGAAATCTCACACACGAAACCACACACACACACACACACACACACACACACACACACACACAGAGGATTGTAACCCCAGCCCTAGGAACAAGGAGACCAGTCAATCTCTGAGGCCTTATGTCTAGACATCTATGGGTTCAAGTGACAGACCCTCTCTCAAAAATGAGGCTGACAGCTCCTTAGGAATGATATGTGACACGTATGTCTTCAACATATACATACACACATGTACATACATATAAGCACACACTGGTGCCTCTTCACACACAGAAATTTTTAAAAAATTTTTTTCAAAGTCAGTGAGTGAGTTTAATTGGTTCCTGTGGGAAAGGTGAGAAGAGAAAACATACTCATTTTCTTTTCTATTTCAAAGCTTACTGGTGCAAATGAGAAATAGAAGTTTATCCCACTGCAGAATTAATGCATTAGCTTGGGAGGCTCACTTGAAGAAAGCCTTTAAAAGCCTGTGGAATTCCAGCTCTTCGAAAGCCATTGGCGATTTGAGGTTACAGCCCTGTGTCAGTGACTGAGAATACCCACAGCCCTGGTGCTGGGTTTACAATAGAGAACTCAGCAAGATCCACCCACTGTCCACCTCAATGAGGCTGTGCATTCCTGCTGAGAAACCTGAACTCTGTGGGAGGCAGATTTTACAAAATAACCCCTACAGCCCTGAAGAGAGTGTAAGACCATGCATTGAACACCACAGGACATTACTTGCTCAGTATGCTCGGGAATATCAATTCCCAGGGTATTCACATTTTTCCAATGTTATATTTTTTATTATTATTTGGTAATTTTTACATAATGCTGCCTTCCCGGGACTGCCCCATGTTGAGTCTTCCCTCCCCCAAAGAAAAGAAAAGAAGAAAACCAAGCAATGACAGCAAAATGCACAAATCCAATTTGTGTTCTCATATACTCACTGGAGCATGGTCAAACTCCTAGTGACCAGCAGCCCACCGAAGAAAACTGAGTCCTTTCTTCCCCACCTGCACCCCTGCCAGATGCCCATAATTGTGAAGAGCTAAGCCTCAGCATCCTTACCACAGTTTTTAAGAGTTCTTTTCAATGACTTCCTGTCTAGACTGTTACTTTAGGGGAAGTGGGGAGGGGCAAAGGGTGTCACAAGAACTTTCTATGACCTTCTTTCTCAACTGTGAGTCTGCAGTCATCATCCCGCTGCAAAAGCATCTTCCTCGCCCTTTACCATCAGCAGGAGTTTTAATATTTGGTGTGGAAGGTGATATTTGGTAAAATGTTGCTAGTTGGGTTGCGTCTTCTGTCCGTCAAAGGATAATGAGATGGAGACACATCTTAAAATAATTATCTCTTGGATTTTCATTCTATCTGGGGTTGAAGTCAATATCAGAAAATTTCTATTGGGGATGCTAATTTATCAGATTCCTGGGTGTGCCACCACACCACAGGCATCAACGTGCTGGGGCAATCGTAACTAATTTTGTTTATAAAAATAGTTAATAAGGAACCACATTTTCCAACCCCTTTTATCCAAGTCAACTCACTGTTGATGAAAAAATGGGAACTCTCATCTCTGACCAAGAGACAATCTTCAAAGTACATTAAGGACACATTCAAAAATACTGCAAATTAATTCAAGACCCAAGCATGTAAGTCCGCATAATAGATTTCTTTTATAGATACGGAGTCTGACTATAGTGGGAATGCAAATCAATTTCATACACACTTATAAAAATGTCTGTATAATTACAGGGTACCAAATCAAGTGCACGGCATCTAAGAACTAGATTGAGAATTCAGGGGCTAATTGCTCTCTAGGATATAAGAGGGCACAAAGGGCCTGGCAGTCTAATTCCTTCTCACTGCAATAGGTGGAAGTGGGTGTTGAGAAGTTAAAACACTCTTCTATTTCACATCGTCTCTGCTGCTAAATATTTGCCAACATGTCTTATATGATCAGGCATACTTTTAAAAGCTGTAAATTCCACTCATTAAAAATGATACAAAAAAATTGAAAATGCAACCCTGGAGGAAGGAGCGTAGAAGAAATCAGCAGTTGAGGAAAAGTGTGTGTGCACCAGGAAAAGGCTTGGTGGGCACCCAGGCAACAACACAGTGTGCATTCTCTGATGGTTTTACTCCCCCCTTTCTTTTGTGCCCATTTAGAGTTGGGTGTTTCTGATTCAGTCTTCTATTTTATAAAAGATAAAGGAAACGGTACCAGCACTCTTTTGAACTGTTTATTATGATGTGTGGCTAACATGTCAGGTACATTGAGTCACTCTCTGATGTACCAAACGTAAATAAACAGTGAAGAGGGTTCAAGGCTCGCACCCTCTTTGGATAACAGAGGAACGCGGCGGTAACCTGCGGAAAAGGAGCTGTGTCGAGGAGTTAGAAATAACAAACTCAGAGTGATAGCCTCCATGTTGCTGCTAACGAAAAAAGTGTCTCTCACTAAGTGTCTTAACATAGTTAACACGGTGGGGGCAGAGCTATAGCTATTACAACCTGGAATGCTATTTTCCATAAAAGTGAAGCATTCCTAGTTTCTGCTCTAACTTTCAGAATTTTGTGTTCCAGTGGTGAGCCTACACTTCACATGTCTCCTCCTCAAGGTGTTCATGCCCCAAAATTAGCCACCATCCTTCTGTTTCAAAAAGACCCTACCTGTTTTCCTGGCAAGCGTTGCCTGGTGATAGAAAACAAAGCCATTGGTAGCACCAAATAAACAGCCCTGGGAAGGTGACTCAGTATCATGATGCCAGCCCAGAAAATGACCCAAAAAGGTCTGGCTCCCAGGCTTGCAGGTTGCACTCAGGCAGGAGAATGAGCCAGGGTTTCCCCTCTGTCTTATCCCTGACCTTCACACCTCCTTGTCGCCATGACTACCTTTCACTGAAAGGGAAGAATTACTATCCCAGCAAAGAACCACACATGCCAAGTTTCCCTAGCATACAAATTGCTTTCCATACAAAGAACACATCTCTGCAGAACAGCAGAAGAAAACATGCTTGTATCCTTAAAACTTCCTTCATATCCCACTGACACAGAGAATTGAGAAATTTGATATGGTCAAAGAGTGGCTTTGATAGAGGTATATTTAAATGTTAATAAAATTATCTTACGTCTGAAAACATTACCTTTGTTCATGCATAGAACTGGCAAAGTGTACTGCCCAAGAAATTCATTTGGTGCTATGAAGCCTTCATTCTCAACCACAAAACGTATCAACGCCAGTTCTGGTACTTGAATAATAAATGTAAATGTTTCATTCCACCTTGGACTAAAAGCTGAAACACAAAGAAATGGTTGCAAGAATATCATAGATACTTTCTCTAAGAAGAACATCAAATAAAAATAAGTGTCTGGAATATTTATTTCTAACACTTTGGTGTAGCTACAACAATAATTTGTATTTTAGACCACTGAAATGTTTAATGTAGTCAATGAGCCAAAGACATTATGACAACAATGATGCTGGCTTGTAAAAACCTTATCTGGATTGCAGCCCCATCAGGGTTAACAGATTAAAAAAAAATAGAAAAAACAAACTACACCACAAAGATGTCACATTACTTACTAGCATTTTATATAACAAATTGTAGAAAAGGGTGCAAACCTGGGAAATCTGACTTTCAAGCAGAAACTGAATCCTTACGTAACATGACTGAAGCTAAGACACTCCTTTTGCAAAGAAATGGAAACATGAGGAATGTCAGAAATGACATTTTTCCTTACTGGTTTGTTACAGGAGGAACTCTTAAATGACATGAGCTCTCTCCCTTACTTTTCATTAATGATGATTTCAAAGTCCCAAGTTGATGAATAATTTGGTGCTCAAGTCAATAAGTCTTCCCAAGCAACCAATCCTTTGCCACAGCAAGAAATCCAAATTGTTTTTCAACTTGGCCCAAATCATCCAAAACTATAGAGTTAATGGACTCAAGATAATCACATCCAAACCACATCTGTGCTTATAGGTCCAAAGTTTGGGAGAAAGATTACTCCTGTTCAGGTACAAAGACAAATCTTTCCAACTCATGTCAATAGTTGTTAATTTTAGGGTCACTGACTTGTAGATAATTATAGTGATGCCTGTGGTTTCTATAGGGCTCCTGAAGTCAGTGGGTCTCTTTACTACTTACAGTCCTGAATGTGTTCTTTGCCCTTGGAAACAGTAAACCTTACACTAGCATAATCACCTTGGCCTAAGAACAAACATAAGTCCATAGGGTACAGAGGCAGATTTAGAGCACAGTCTTTATGGAGACTTCTAAACCTTTACAGAGAGTCTGCAAGCAGAGTCATTGGTCTTCCTCCCTCCCTTCCTCTGTATCTAATCTCTGTCTCTGTCTCTGTCTCTCTCTCTCTCTCTCACACCTATGCAAAAGTAATTGTTACTTTTATAGAAAGTATGCAGGGCATGAAATTTGTTTGGTAAGTGTATTTTCCATGTGTGATAAAACTGATGAGTTAACTATGCCTTATCCAAAAATCTGATCTTTTCTTTCCATGCATTCATATCTCAAATTATACTAGCTTTGTCCCAATAGTCTTACAGTCTGTCCTGTCCACCATCCTAGATTATTGCTCTCACAGGTGACTCGCATACACACCCTCCATTCCTTCCTGGACGTCACTGTCCTCTTTGCCTCTTGACTACCATGTCTTTTAAGCATTGGATTCCTATCCTGACACTTTTTATTTCTCATTTCTCTTTAATACTTTCCTACCTTGTCTACAGAAGCAATCTCCTGAAATCCTCTGTAAATGACTTAATTGTATCTGTTTCCCATAGGGAATCACTAGGAGCAAGCATGGCTTTCAAAAATGTCCTTGAGCAGTCCCAGTATAACTCACTGACTTTGTCATTCTCTGGTGTTTCTTGAGCATCCTATATTCCAGTCACCTTGGACATCTTGGCTTCTTCCTAGCATCTTGTAATCGTGTCTTCTTCATAGTTGAGAGTCATGTTGTTCTTTCTCCCATATGTACCCTTGTCCCCAACTATAAAAAGGAATCTATAATTTTTCTTACAACCATCTTCTGTGGGCCTCTTGAACATAGTCTTTTGTATTCTCCTTCAAGCCCTAATCATCCCCCATGATAATACTTCTCTTTTATGTCATCTATCATACTAAACTGTAGAGTGTCTATAGTAAAATTAACACATATTTAAATAGGAACCTAATAAATAGATTCTTAAGTCTTCTGATGCTTCAAACATCACAGGGCTTAAAGCAGGAGCTCAAGTCTGATGAACCAAATTCAATGTCCTTGGAGACATTCCCACAAAACCCAGAGGTGTGACCAACATTCTGCAGTCACGTTATTAAAAGGTACACTGAAGAAATTACTTTTAAATTACATTTTCTAAGAATTTTTTTTCTAAAGAGAAAACAGACATCCTTTTTTCCCAAGAAGCAAAAGAGCTCACCGTTTTTCTTGACAACACGGGTCTGCTGCTTGACTTGGTCACTTGGCACCCCATAGACTTCTATGATCACCAGCACGTCGGCTTTGTTAGAGAACAGGCTGAAGGGCAGCTGGATCCCACTGATGAGCTGCACAAACACGGATGGACAGGCGACTTAGCGAGGCAAGAAAATGCATTACCACTTGAGCTCCATCAGATGGCATGTCCCCAAAAGACAAAGACTCTAAATTATCTGCTGCAAAAATTGAAGCTGGCAAATCATGGGAATTTTACGTTTTAATCCTTTCACCTTCAAATATCACTAGATAATGACCAAGAACCTGCCAAAAATAGTGCTTCACTCAAATGCATTTATAGTGGAATCCACAATGTACAAGGTTTATGATTAATTTGTATATATTATTCTTTTTTAAACATGTTTAAGTTTGGTATTATTGTGTTCTCAAATATAAAATGTTGTACCATAATATTTTCTTGATGGCATTTTCTTAAAAAATAGTTTATACTTGAATTGGTTATAAAATTTGACATTATCCACTGTTATCTGTATTACCATAACAAGGAACTGGAGCCTGATAAGATCAACTACTGCATATGTATGTCAGAGACAGGGATCAAAAATATACTTCAAAAAGTTACAGGTTATATTTCCATTTCATTTTTTTTTGTCCCAAATAATTATTGAGTCAAAATTGTGTTTTGGTTTTAAGAACAAAGTGAACATAGAGCATTTGAACTAGGGTGATTTAAGATGAGAAACAAGCTGCAAGCCTAGGAGCTCAGCCCTCCTGTAACTACTGCCAGGAGCCGTACATCTCCCCCATGCCTCCTGGCTATACGCCCAGCTTCCTAACACCCCCTCTTCCCAGGCGTCTGATGAAGAGAGCTCATTCAAGGTCTAGTACATAGACGTGGAGAGCTGCACCAGAAGGCAGGAGAAGAAGGCCAGTTAGACGTGTGCTGACCCTAAGGTAGTGTCTGTTCATACAGGTACCAGCAAATATTTGACTACAGGTAGAGCCCACAACCCTCAATATAATTCCATAAGAGAATACAGTGGACCAACCCTCTTACAATTTAATCTTGTCCTGAACATTGTACGCGTCTACAATGACAGAGGAAAAGTGATGAGCAAAATCAAAGACAACGCTGCAGCTGACAGATTGCTTCAGATTCACGAGTCTCAGAAGAGAAGTAAAAGTAATATGAAAAATCAAATCATCTCCCACCCAAAAATTACTAATCCTACGGTATTGAACCCCAGTAAAAACAGCCAGGAAGAGCCTGCAGACAAAGAGTTAAAAAGAATGATTATAGCTGTATTTAAATATCTCAAATAAGGACAAAAGAAAAGAAGTGAATGAAATGATGAAATCAACTAAAGATATAAAAACTCTATTCAATAGAAAATGGAGAAAAAATTGAAATAATTCTAGAAATGAAAAACTCACTAAGTCAAATAAGAAATTAAAAAACAACAGACTAGGTCAGGTGTAAAACAATAAGACAGAGCTGGAAGACAAAGGGAAGAAGTGAAGAGAAATGGAGATGAGAGGAGAGGGGAGTGGAGGGGAAGGGAGGGGAGGAGAAGAGAGAAGAGAAGCATAATAAACTGGAAATGTTGACCGTCTTCATCAAAAACTCAAGGAAGCTTCCAGTAAATCCGGGCCTTCTGGTTTCCAAGTTGTGCTCTCATAACCTGGGAGATTAACATAACCAACTACAAATCTCCTTAGAATAACCGCAAGGGGGGACTCACCCATGTGGCCTCAGTGGCTACTTCCAAGGAGCATCAGTAACCTGTTTGTTTGAGTCCAAGCTACTTAACACCTCACCATGAGATTCTCAGAGTACGAGCCCAGAACCTCCATCAGCATCTGTGTGCACAAACTACTTCATTTCCAACAGGACAGCACAGATGCTCTCTGTACTATTCTCAGCATGCAACAGATGTCACTCATTCAATTAGCTTCCATATATGTAGCATGTGTTTTATGATAGACCCTGTCACTTAGACTTGAACAGAACACCAGTTCTTAGCTTTAAAGAATCGTTAGATAACTGGAGAATAAGAACAAGAAAAATGATCATGATGCTGAGGGGTAATTCTGTAATACGTACTTGTATAGGCTTGATGGAAAAACAGAAGGAAACTAAAAAAGAAGCACAACCAAGAAAAACTGCTTCCAAAAAGCAGTGATGTTTAAGTCATGAGTCAGTCAATTCATGGCATCTATATTTCATATCAGTACTTCGGAGGCAGCAGCAGGCAGATCTCTGTGAGTTCAAGGCCAGTCTGTTGGCCTAGATAAATGTTCAGAGATAGCTATGATTAGACAATAAGACCTTCTCTAAAGAATGGGGGAAGAAAAATATAGAGACAGAAACACACACACACACACACAGAGAGAGAGAATTCAAAGGGAAAGTAAACAATAATGAGAGGGAAAAGAATGTAATTCAAGGAGGTAAATCCTCTTCATGGTTATGGAATAAATTAAGGCCAGGTGTGGTGAGACACTGGTAGAGAGAAGAGAGCCAAGCCTTGACTAAGAAAGTAGCTGGTAAACAGAAATGAATGGTAAGTACTACTGAGATATCATTGTAGCAATGTAAGAAAGAGTGATTGGGAGGACTGAGACAGGCTGTTTAGTTTAGTTTTCTGCTATTGCTATAAACTATCCTGACAAAAGTAACTTTAAAGGAGAAATTATTGTTCTCTTTATAGTCAACCCTCACTGAGGGGAAGGCACAGCAGGAACTTGAAACAAGTAGTCGTGTCCACAGTCAAGAGCAAAGAGAATCGACGCATGCAAGCTAGCTGCTCTCCTTACCTTATCCTTTTAGAAAGCTCAGGACCCAAACCTAGGGAATGGTGACACCCTCCTTTCAGGCTGGGTCTTCCTGGACCATTTAACCCAAGAAGAAAATCTCTTCTGTGGGATTAGAGAGATGGGTCAGTGGCAGAACCCTTGCTGCCCTTCCAGAGAAACAGAGTTTGATTTGCAGTACTCACTTGGCAGCTTACAACCTTCTGTTACCCCAGCTCCAAAGAATGCAACATCCTCTCCTGGCTTCCATCAGTATCAAGCATGCATAGATGCATAGATATGAACACAGGCAAAACACCCATTCACACAAAATAATAAAGGAATATTTTAAAAGAAAATTCTCAAAGACCAATCTAACTGAACAATCTCTCACTGAGAGACTCTTTACCCAGGTTATTCCAGAATAGCTAAAGATGACACACTAGAACTAACCATTGAAGTGGGCTGAGTGGACACATTTAAGAAGTCAAAAGAAGAGACTGATGATAGATAACAAAATCCTGAAGCAGGACAGCAGCAAAAGTTGCTTAGACCAAAGGAATGTCTCATGAGGACCTGGAGTGGCCTGGAAAGAATTTAGATGGATGACATGGGAAGTAAAGGAGATGTTTAACTGCCCTGTTTTCTGCTCTGAGCTGGTCAGGCAAAGAGCACTATTCATTGACATGCCAATAAAATATTTAAAGGTAGATTGACTAGAAAGGGATGCTACGCTTGAAAAATTTAAGTTTGACAGGATAGTGATTTAATAGGTATGGATACTTGGTAGACTGTTTAAAATATTCTTCAGGTTCCAAATTAACAACAACAAAAAAAATGGCTATAAGTCTCAGCATCTGTTTTGATACCCTCCAGGGTAGAGCCTTTCAGAGGCCCTCTGTGGTAGGCTCCTGTCCTGTTCCCTGTTTTCTCCCTCCTCCGATGTCCATCCTCAATGCCTTTCTGAGTGGGGACTGAGCATCTTAGCCAGAGTCCTCCTTCCTGATTAGCTTCCTTAGGTGTATAGATTTTAGTATGTTTATCCTATCTTATATGTCTAATATCCACTTATGAGTGAGTATATACCATGTGTGTCTTTCTGCTTCTGGGATACCTTACTCAGGATGATCTTTTCCAATTCCCACCATTTACCTGCAAATTTCATGATTTCCTTGTTTTTTATACCGGAGTAATATTCTATTGTGTAGATGTACCACAATTTCTGTATCCATTCCTTAACTGAGGGGCATCTGGGTTGTTTCCAGCTTCTGGCTATTACAAATAAAGCTGCTACAAACATGGTTGAGCAGATGTCCTTGCAGTATACTTGGGCATCCTTTGGATATATGCCTAGGAGTGGTATAGCTGGATCTTGAGGAAGCACTATTCCTAATTGTCTATCAAAGCACCAGAATGACTTCCAAAGTGGTTGTATAAGTTTACATTCCCACCAGCAGTGAGGAGGGTTCCCCATTCTCCATCTCCTCTCCAGCATGTGTTGTCACTTTGGGCAGGGTGCAGGGAATCTTATGAAAGAAGTGGGAGATAGTAAGACCTGGGGAGGACAGGAGCTCCAGAAGGAGTCTGGGCACAGGGGTCTTTTCTGAAACTGATACTCCAGCCAAGGACCATTCATGGAGATGGCCTGGAAACCCTGCACGGAGGTAGCCTATGGCAGTTCAGTGTCCAAGTGGCCTCCATAATAATGGGGACAGGGACTGTCTCTGACATGAACTGATTGGGCTGTTCTTTGATCACCTCCCCCTGATGGGGAAGCAATCTTACCAGGCCACAGAAGAAGACAATGAAGCCACTCCTGATAAGACCTGATTGACTAGGATCAGAGGGAAGGGGAGGAGGACCTCCCTTTTCAGTGGACTGGGAAAGGGACACGGGTGGGTAAGAGGGAGAGTGGGATTGAGAGGGGAGGAAGAAGAGAGGTACAGGGGGGATACAAAGTGAATAAACTGTAATTAATAAAAATAAAATAATGTAAAAAAAATGAGGCCAGGTTAAAGTTTTAAGTTGAAATCTGTTGGTTAAAATCACGAGCCTTTCCTTAAGATAATGTGTGAAGAATCATTAGTTTGGAACAAGGGGTAGGAAAAGCTTTATCTAACATAAATATTTTAGGAGTAGTTACAGAAAGAGGAATCCATCAATGAAAGTGAAACAGATTCCCACGGAAGAGAGATAATGAATTCAGATAATAGAAAAGACTTGAGTGTGTTACGAAGGGCTCTTAGAAGTGGCTAATCCATTTTTTCCCCACTGAATCAACTATTAAAGAAAAGATACAGAACAAGGCCAGTGCGACAGTCTCCTTGTAAACGAAGCTCCATGGTCAACAATACTTCTCAAGATGCCAGAAAGTGTCAGCTAGTCAATATTTGTAGCCGCTTTTGTAGGTGATTTCGAGCTATCTACTCTGACTGGATTATAGTGTCACAGCATCCTAGAGCAGGAGCAAAGCCAGCTGTGGACCTCACCAGCATTGTTTCCTGCCAACCCTGATGCATTTTCTCCCCATCTAGGTTTGCTCTACTGTCCTTTCAAGTTTATTTCTGGAAAATAGCTCATAAAATCTCCCGTAGTTCACTGGGATCAAATGGCTAGGGCCTGAAGCAGGTGAGAGTTGGTTCCCAGGCCATAGAGTGTTACGAAAATGGTGGACAGAAATGAGAAAGAAACTGTAATTGAGGCGTATTCTGGGAACTCCAGGGTATCAAGCATTACAGCCAGGAATGAAGATCAAGAGACCGCTCAATAGCTGGCCGAGGCCCAGACCTCCACTATTAGCAACATGGAATATGTGGCTAGAAACAGCAAGATCACTGACCCAATTCTCAGCACATCTGAGATGATGCCCAAGGTTGTAGGAGCAACTAGTTAAACGGAAGGAGATACCCCAAAGAGGCCACACCTACCCAATTCGTTAGCAAACAAATCCTCCACTTGCACCCTATGTAGGTGGAGGTGTAATCTAAAGGAGTGGTTTGTGATTAAGTGGCAAACGCAAGCAAACCTTTCTTCAAGGTTCAGTGGCATTTAAAAAAGTGAACAAACGTTGTGTTCGGGTCATAGAGAATTAAGAAAAGTCTGTGCTAATGGAGACAGCCACTCTTGCTATAAAGAAACTATACAGAAAACAATAAAGCAAAACATGAAATAATGAGGGGAGAGAACTGAGAGGGACAGAGTGAAGATAGAAATAAAGAGAAAGCAACATGATGTAATTGGCAACTGGAGAGTGAAAGTGGAGAAAAATACTCATTTATATTAAATAAAGCTAAAATCAAATATAGGGGTCTGAAAAGATGGCTCAGCAGTACAAGCATGCATTGCTATTACAGACTTCAATTTCCAGCACCCACCATGGGCAGCTTTACAACCAGCTGCACCTCCAGCTAAAGGGCAATCTGACGCCCTCTACTGGACTCCACAACACCTGCACTCATACATACACACACACACAAACAAACAAAATACATGAATAAATAAATCTTAAAAATTAAATATAGAATTTGAATCACCAATGTAGGGGGAAAATGTTAAAAGCTCTCCCAAACTGCAGGGGTTTTGAAAAATGAGACCATTCTAAGTTTATAAGATATTAATAGAAACTAAAGATGGATATAAGAGAAAGAATATACATACTTTTCTTTATTTGCAATAAACACAGTTCAGAACCAGCAGGGAAAGAATACTGCACTACAAAAGTAAAAGATTAATGATAAAGAAATACCTCCTAGAGTTTGCTGGTGAAATTCTTTAAAGTTAAGGGACAAAAAGTGGCATGTCCACAAGGTCATCAGTGGGTTGAACTCAGACAACTCCATCACAGTGTTAAATGGCGAAGCACAATGGAATAATATAAATAGATCTCTCGGAGGAAAAGGTTTTAGCCTCGATATTTCTATTCACTGGCAGAAAATCATTCATGTGTAAACACACAGAAAGAAATTCTTCAGACATAGAAAAAGATGCTCAAACGGCACCCATTAATTGTGTCTAGAAAGATTAACTGGAATTTAAAGAGTATTAGAGCAGATCGGTAGAATTGAAATATTAATGTACACTATCTAGTTTACTTAACAACCAGGAAATAAAGGAAAAAGCCATTAATCTTACTCGTATTGTGAGGGTGAGTGGGTGGCCCTCTCCTGTTACTTCACTGGGGTTAAAGCTCAGGGTTGTGTCTCTGAGGAAGTCTGGCTTCAAAAGATATCCAGAGTCTCCATTATCCAAAAATTTCCCATTTTGCAAATCCATAGGCAGTCCAGGAGTTTGGAAATTCAAGGCCACTGTGAGAAAGAAGTATTTTAACACTGTTAGAAAACAAGGAATGAAGTTAAATTCAGGGTGTGTCAAAATCATCACATTGTATATCTTTATGTATTTTAAGAATATGGATTATTTACCTAACAGTTAAAGGATTTTTAAATGTGTTATTGCTGTCTTGCTGTGGTGGTTTAAATGGAGATAGCCACAGAAGCTCATAGGGAGAGACACTATTAGGAGGTATGGCCTTGTTGGAAGAAGTGTAGCTCCAGGAATTGGCTTTGAGGGTTCAAACACTCAAGGCCAGGCACAGTCTCTCTCTCCTCTCTCTCTCTCTCCTCTCTCTCTTTCCCTACTGCCTGAAGATCTAGATGTAGAACTCTCAGCTACCTCTCTAGCACCACATCTACTGCCTGCTGCCATGCTTCCCACAATGATGATAATGGACAAACCCTGAACTTTAAGCCAGCCCCAACTTAATGTGTCTCTCTATAAGAGTTGCTATGGTCATGGTGTCTCTTCGCAGCAATAGGAACCTACACTAAGACACTTGGTGGCCTCAAATTCTCCATGTAAGGAAGACCTTAAACTCCTGAAGCCCTTGCCCTAGTGCTGAGATTACACTAGATGTAATCAGGGGACATCCTGATATCCATCTACTACAACTTTGCTTAAGGCAGTAAAGATGACACTCAGTACAGATTACAGAAAAGCAATGCGTGTCTCAGATTATATTTAATAAATATAAAAGTAAGTAGGGCTGGGCTCTAACTCCATGGTAGAGTGTTTGCTTAGCCTGTGTGGGGTCTTAGATTCAATGGTCAGTACTGGAATGTACTCTTGTAAAAAGAGAAGGCACCAACTCTATCACAAATATCCAGGTCCAAGATGAGAAGGTGAGAGCTGCTCCATATAGTGCCCAGTAAGAGGCCCTGGCGTACAGTCCTCCCTTCACTCTCCCCAGCCCACCTGACTCCCACCTCCTCATGCCCAGGTGCAAGCACCTGGTAGTACACTGTCCATACAGTACTGGAAACAAAAAATGAGCCCTGACCCTGAGAGGCTGGTGATGGCACCAAACCCGCTCTTCCGTTAGGAACAAGGAGAATGGTGCATGGAGAAATAACCAGCCCTGTGACCATACTCACACCTCCTGAGGCTGTGAATGTCAAAGCTCATGTCAAGTCAAAAAGATGGAGGGCTCTTGGCCTGCAGGGGGCTTGAGGCTAACACAAGTGGGGTACTTTTTCTTCAGTTCCCCTTCTACCCATCTGGCTGCCCTCTCCCTCCAGAACGTATGTTCCAATGACAAGTTCTTGTGAATGAGTCCAGGCCTTGCCACCCTCACCAAATCTTCCCTCTGCTATTTGGGGAAATTTTCAGCTCTAGAAACCAGTCATTACCATGAGTGCCTGATCCCACTTCCAGGGCCAAAGCTCTTCCGGAGATTTCCGTTAACTCACACAATGAATTCATGTCTACTTACATGTGCAGCCAGAGCGTTAGCCCTACACAACATACCCATCTGGCAGCCTATATTCCAAAACTCTTGAGGGTTAAAATTAGAAGAGTCTGTTCTCGTCACTTTAGGGTATATTCTGGTGATGAATTTGGTGGTGTGGAAAATAAACTCATGGACTACAAAAAGAAAAATGTAATAAAAATTTTTGAAACATTTTAATCAGTGAAACAAGGTGTTTTTGTATATTACTCACACATAAGAAAATTCTATACATGACCTTGGCAAAAACATTTATCAGTCACAGGATAAAAGAGAATCCCATGCATTTATGCTTTCAAAATAATTCATAATATGTTATAATTTCATAGAACAACTTATGTACCCTGTTCACTTACTTGAGAAACCATTTCACTTTCACACATCCAAATTAATTCCAAATTAATACAATACATACAATTCCAAAATAAAATGTTTTTTAAAGTAACATATTTACCGATTTAATTTTTAACCTTAATTCTCACACTAAGATGTACTCACGTATAAGTCATTTGTGGCTATGTGTTTCTAGTTAAATTAATTTAGTGATCATTTTACAGATTTGTAGAGTATAGAGGGGCCCTAGGGTTGTCTGGCTTAGCTCCCAGCTCCCCAGCCCAGCACCCTTCCTTCAACTGCATTCTGCCTCTGCTTTCAACTCTCCATTGACAATCTCAAAACTCTTATTTCTAATATCACTTTTGCTGAGCTATTTACTTGCCTACAGCGTGCATATGCATGCACTTATATGTAGTCTATATCTTCTCTGTGTAATTTTGCTTGTCTATATTCTAAGTGACTTGGGATTAAAAACTAATTTGCATCCCTCACCATTTGACTGACATCACTTTAGATTTTTTGAACACAGATATCATGGTTTTTGGCTTTTGTCTTTCAAGATTTTTCTTCTTCCACTGAACAGATCCCATTGCCACAACCATTCCTGGAAGTATGAAAACCATTCTTGAGAGAAGTGACTGCTGTGTGTAACTTATGGTATTTGAGAAGGGAAAGACTTCTTTTTCTCCTTGTCATAAATAGTATTCTTTAGGAAGCATTGTTAATTTAAAAGCCAAATGTTGCTTTGAAGTCATGCTCCTTCTGTACTCTACAGGAAGTCAGTCCGTAAGCACACCATGCACACTTGGGACCGAGGGTTTATATCTACATAGTGTTGCATGAATGCTCCCTAAGGTCTCTGTGTTGGTAAATTCTGAGTATCAACCCAATCAGGTTAAGAAACACCTGGACATCAGTGAGGTACACCTACATTTGTGTCCAGGAAGGTATTTTTGTGGAGAATTAACTGAGAAAGACCCCCGTGGTGTAGATGACCTCATCCCATGGGCTCGGTCCTTATAATGCTAATAACAAGGGGAAATAAGAAAAGCCAACTGGTTACAAGCTTCCACGTCTTTTCCTTCCTTATGTAGAGAGACGTGAGCTGCTTCATGCTCCCACTGCCACGGACCTGCAGCCACCATGGTTTTCAGGCCAGCATGGACTGGGTCTCTTCAGACTGTGAGCTTCTGTGGCTTCCTTTCTGAAGTTGCTGCTTATTGGGCATTCGGTCACAGCAATGATAAGAGTGGCTAACACAGTCCTATAACATAATGTTGTTTCTGAAACTTAGCACCAGAAATTACACATCATTTATTACAAATGCACTTCGTATTCTTTCTAGAAACATGTAGAAATCAAATAAAAAAGATGAAATAAAACTGCATATAATCTCACCACTCAGTTAAGAATTACCAATAACTGAATGGTGTGTGTCTTTCTATTCTCTTCTATTTATATGCTAATTTCTCGAATGAATTTGTATTATTTATTCCCATTTATTGACTGCCACTTTTTTTTTTTTTACTTAAATAGACTAATGTAAAAATCATTCCATTTGATAGCATCCCAAAAGTTATATTGTGATGGGTATAGTAATACTAGGCCTCTGTGCAGTTAAAGATTTGTCACTATCATTAATTATTTACTATTAGTGACTTCTGGTACAATGAAAACATTCTACTTTCTTCAAGACATAGTGGTGTTATGCACTATGTCTGGGCTCTCCTAATCACCTTTAAAAAGTGTTTGTGTGTGTTTAACACACCAGACGTGAGGGGATTGTGACAACTTAAAATATGCACAGGAGTCCTGTTCTCATAAATCTAAAAAGCTACCCGACACTTCGAGGTGGCAGACACCAACAAGTAAAGCAGGTCATTCAAACTCTCTTCACCCAACTGTGCTGTGAGATACACACACACACCACTCAAGCTGGGGAGATGCTTAGCAGGTAAGAGTTCTCCCCGAACAGACATGCAAGACTTAGTTCTCATTCCCCTACAAAACCCCAGCATGGCTACAGGAACCTGTGGCCTTAGCACTGTTACAGGGCTAGGAGCAGGGGAGGGGTGGGGGAAGGGTGGATCACTGAGGCTTCTCACTTGCAGCCTAGCTCCACTCTCAGGGAGAAAGCCTGTCTCCAGGGAGGAAGGCAGAGAGTGACCAAGTAGGACCCTGATCTCTTTTTCTGGATTCTGTATGATCCTGTGATCATGCGTCCACACACATCAGTCTCCACTCCCCCCACCCGCTTCTATCTCTGTCCTCTCTTTTCTCTCTCTCCTCTTCCCTTTCTTTTCTTTGTTTCTCTTCTCTCCTTCCTCTTTCTCCTCCCTCCTCTCTGCTCACCCCTTCTCCTCTTCTTCTCTCTCCTCTCTCCTTCTCTCCCTCTCTCTCTCTCTTTCTCTCATCATTTATACTAAACTTATACTGCTGCTTCAGCTATTTCATGGATTACTCTGTAGTATAACATCCTACCATGGTTTGCCCACAGAAGGGTCCATACCTTACACATTTTAATCAAAATGCCATGCCCTAAAGATTAAAGAAGGATGGTGGCACACAACTTCATTCTCAGTGCTAGGTGGGAAGAGAAAGGTAGATCTCTATGAGTTCAAGGCCAGTCTGGTCTACACAAGGTGTTTCAAGCCAGCCAAGACTACATACCTTGTCTAAAAATAAAATAAAATAAAATATTAAGGCAGTTAATAGGAAAGCTTTATGATATAAAATATATTTTTACAGATTTAATATAGATATTAAGAATTTATATATATATATATTAAGAATAAAAATGCAATTCTAAATTGTTGTAAGTAAATTGAAATTTAATAAGAATATACACTCATAAATACCTCCATCCCATGTTAACCCCTTAGCACTGAATAGAACCAATTTAAATACTCCACCCTTTGGAGTTGTAAGCATTTACCTCTCAATTTTGAAAGTTTTCTAGCTCGAGACTCCCCAAGAGAATTGTTCTCATTAAATCGCTGATAAAGTCTTGAATATTGGAAACTTCGGAACTTCTCAGCTTTAGTATAAATGACAAGATCAGATAAGGCCAGAGCTAGTCTTATCTTCTTGGTCTAAAAAAAAAAATAAAATGCAGTGAGTTCACATTTTTATATTACTCATTACAAACTTTTCATATATATATATATATATATATATATATATGTATGTATGTATGTATGCTTTTGAATATATCACTTCAGTTTTTCTTAAGTGTATCCCCCCAAGACTTTTTGGACTAAGGCAATGTGATCATTTTTATGGCGACCATATTTAATAATTATATGAGTTAGACTGAACTTAAAATCTAGTTAATATATTAAGATTTGGGAATAGTAATTTTTACCATTTTCTTGTCCCTAAGCTTATTTTTATAAACCTTACAAATTTATAAATCCTAATCATGAGTCTATTTCTAGTTTGTTCAGGCACTTTGGGGTTATTTTTATTGTGACACAGACATTCGCTCTTCCACTGCCTTTCCTTCAGCTGCTTCTCAGGTTTGTGAAAAACCTCCCTTGTTCATGCTCACACTGCACATTAATATTTTAGGTTAGTACATGAATGCTAGGTTTCTTCATGACGTTCTCTCACTGCATGTCTTCATGCTTTCCTTTGATCTATCTGTTTCCGCATGCCCTCTTCTGTCGTCCCTTTGGCTTGCAGTTCTTTCCTGCCTCAGTTCTCACGTGACACGGATTCCCCTATCTTTTCTTATCCCACCTCAGTCCTCTATAGTTTTCCATTCCCTCTAGTAGTCCTTTTCCTACTTTTGTGTATGTGCGCATATGTATAAATATAAATATTGAGTCCCATATCAGAAAGAATGTGCACCTTTTTCTTGGCAGCTGCTCCTCCAATCAGCTTTGAGAGGTCTGTCTCCTTTTCCTCCTTGACCCGTAATAAAAAGTCATCTCGAGTTTCTGGCTCCTTCAATAAATCCTCTTCCTCGTCTTCATACACATCGTCTTCTGTCTCCAGCACTCGGCCCTGTTTGAACATCCCCTTCCTCTCGCGGGTTTCCAACAAGGTTCCTATTTTCTTATTTTTCACTAATACTTTGAATTTCAGTGCCTATAAAAACAATTGGAAAAGACACAGATTTATAGGCTGGTCATCCCTGTGAGCTTGAGAAGTACCCCAACCTATGTACAGCCAGGAGAAAGTGAGGCTGAGTCTGGGAGTTCACCGACGGTAGCCAGCTAGGTCAGAATCTCGATGTGCGTTGGAACATCACCTGTGCGCTTAGAAGCCAGCGCTCTACAGTGCAGACCGTAATTCACTCTAAAGAGGTCTATGATAACGGAGATTTACTGTAGATGATCTTTTCTCTATTTCACAAGTTGCTAAACCGGAAGCAGATTGGAAAGTGCATGTATGCACATCGGCATGTTTGTCACTAAAGTTAAACAGTTACAACCTCTGGCAGTAGGTACAATGCTCTCACCCCACATTAAAAGCACCCAGTGGGATCAGGGACATAAAAATGCCCACCAGCCTGTCTGACATGTAATATGGATTGCACTAAAATTTTGCAAAGCCTCTTCAGTTGTAATCAACTTAATATTTGCAGCCCATCGAATCACAGATGGGACAGAATTTACCACCACCGGGAAGGGGCATTCCCTCTGAATTCAAAGCCTTCTGATGCATTTCTCAACTGTCTCCACCCTTACCAAAACTTAATATATGAGTGCCTGCCATGCTGCGTACTGAGATACGTGTTCTGATGTTTCCCTTCCTTCTATCAACCTCACATTCTGATTCGTCTCTCTTATGATGGTCCTTCCATTACTCTGGATATGGAGTTTACCAAAATGTATTCCGTGCCCGAATGCCAAAGCCACTACAAAAGGTGCTTCTTAAAGGGACATATTTGAGGGATGTACAATTAAGAAGTCAACACTGTAAGTCATCTTTCACGACTCAAATGTCCAAGACCTGCGTTCAGGCCTTCCTCATTGCATTACAGTTGACCTTTTCAGTTCTCCCCTGGAGGTGTGAATCATGGATGAGGATACAAAGCTATTTTAACTCTGTTGTGGGTTTTTTTTTAAATCCTTTTTAATGATGTACAAGGGCATAAAAAGCTTATTTCATAATGAATCTCAACAGCTTCCTACTGGCTACCCAAACTGTAGAAAAGTTTGTTGATATCTATGGTTTGGGGGATCCCGTTTAAAAAAAAAAGTTTTTTAAATCTTAAATTGTAGGGCTTGTTTAGCAAGGCTAAGTTAGCAAGTTCCCAGGTAATTCTCTCTTACACTGAAGACTGAACACAGTGTGAAAAAAGAGACTTTTTCTCTAATTACTCATTGATCCCTCAGAAATTACCTCCTTACTGTGGCGTGGAAGCTGAAGCATCAATGAAAGCCATGAGGTAGAATGCAAAAGAAAGAAAGAGGGAGAGGAAAAAAAAAAGAACAGAAAAACAGGAGATGCTAACAGAAGACAATATTCGGAGAGAACTGTTGAAAGTTTTCCAGAATTGGATCCTGCCTCTGAGCTGCATCTTTGGTGTTTTTTGTGCAGCATTTTGCAACAATACTTACAGTTTTTGTCACACTGAATGTTTTAGTCTTTGAGCATTCCTCAGAGATAAAAATCACGATTTTTTGTACTCATTAATTAATTTGTGTTCTGTCTCAGCTCTATGGCATGAGCACATTCATTTTCCTCCCCCATTCAAATGATATGGGTGAATGTATTCAAATATCACAAAATAATGCTACATTACCAGAACTGTAGATATATCAAAACCCAAATATTGTTAGAAAATAGTACTTAGGGAGAAGAAAGTTCCCTTGTTTGATGGCCTTGGGTTGCTGTGTCATCCAAAGAAAAGTAAGAGAAATGGTGAGATCTTGAATTTGAGAGAGCAGATACAGCATACATGCCTCAAGTAATGTCACAACAGAGGTGAGCATTTCAAGGCAACAAAAAGCAGAGAAGTCATGGGTTGTACGTGTTGCTGGGAAAACAGGTCACACGTATTCTGAGATAAACCCATTTGGGTTCATCAGTAGGAAGACTTGGAATGGCCTGAATGAGCCCCTCTCTGGGGCAATGGGAAGAGGAGATAGACAGAGGAAGTCCTAGGTAATTGAATTGAAAGGAGAGAAATTTACTCCCTGTTTGTTGCTATTTTGAGAATAGATTCTGTTTACAACCTCGGCATCTCACCTCTCTTAACCTTTTGCCTATGAAATATATCAAATTCCTGAGGCGTTATATTAAAATGTCTTCATAGTTTGGACCTATGGATGAAGTGAAGTACACAATCAAAAAGTGGATTTTACATCTATCCCTGCATTTTTTTTTTATTTTCCTGTTGCTTTTCTAAACTATCTTGATGAAAGCCACTTAAAGGAGGAAAGATTTCTCTCAGCTTACAGTTCCAGGCTACAGTCCATCATAGTAGGAGAGCCACAGAGAAGGGAGCTCAGCAGCCTATCACATGTGTATTCAGGAACAGAGAGCAGCAAATCCATGCATGCTAGTGCTCTGCTTGTCTTGACCGTTAGACAGTTAGACAGCCCAGGTTCCACTCACAGTCAACATGGGTCTTCCTACATTAGTTAATGGAAGCAGGGCAGTCACCCCACAGGCATACTCAGAGTCCAACCCCCCAAGGTGAGTCTAGACTCTGTCAAGTAGACAATTAGCAAATGCCACCAGATTCTATGAGTGTGCCTTCTTTACATAGTCTCTTTCGATATGACAACAGAACATTCCTCAGGCAACACATAGCAAAAGCAGCTTCTCTGTGAGATAGTCAAAGCCAAAAGTTTGTGCTGGTCTCTAAGCTATGCGTAAAGGTGACCATGGTCTGTTTTTTGGTCTCGGTTTTGATTTTTTTTTCCCCTTCATCTACACTTCTCAGGCAAAGACTTACCTCTGGAGATGGTAGCCTATCTGAAAACTCATCAAGCATGTCTGAGAGCAGCAAGTCTCCAAAGGTACTCTGCAGAATGTCAGCTATCACGTCCTGCTGGCCAGGGGAGCAGTGGTTCTCCAAGGACAGCACCACGGGGTACTCCGACGTCTAGAATATGAACCATCACTATGGTTACTCATCTGTCCTAGCACAGTTCATCTAAACAGTTACCTCAAAATTCATCTCCAACATTCTTTGTGAGCTGGCTTTCAACTGAAAATTATTTTAGCATCTGACAAAGAAAAGACTTTAAAAAGATAGCTTTTTTTTTTTTTTCATAGGGAAAGAGGAGTATTCTCGTTTGCCTTGAAAGTATGAGCAGAGCCTGAAACACCATCGGGAAATTATTTCAGTAAGTTATATCAGGTCTATAGGAATAAATGACAAGATTGAGAGCCAGGCCTGGAGGCTTAAGCCTGTAGTCCCAGCACTCATGAAGCTGAGGGAAGAAGATTCCATATTCAAAGCTGGCCTGGGTTAAAGCGTCTAAGGCCAGCCTGGGCAACTTGTCTTAAGATAAAAAGTAAGGACAGCGCTGAAGATATAGATCATTGATAGCATGGTTGCCTACCACTCACAGGACCCTGGGCTCAACACTCGGGGCTCAATCCTGCCCCGCCCCCTCAAAATCTGTACAGCCAAGTACACCACCATAGAAAGTGCTGTATTTTCATGGGCAGAGAGCTCTCCTCAGAGACTTTGAGTGTTGAACGTCCCCCAGAGGTCCAAGCGGGTGTGCTTAGCTGACAGAATAATGGGTTCCATCACAGCACTTCTCCACACACCCATCATTCTAGTCTGTTTTCACATGCACATGAGCACACACCAAGAATTATATGCTATTTACCATCAATGGGATTTCCTTTTAAATTTCACTTTTGGTTGGGCATTTTCTTTATAAAAATGTTAATTTTTACTCTGGTTTTTCTAGTTCATAAATTTACTGAATCCATTTACTAGCTCTAATAAATTTTTGTAGACTCTTTGGTTTTGTTTTGTTTTTTTTTTACGTTTGTTATCATGTCACATGAAACTAGAGAACATTTTTTCATAATATTAACGCCTTTGTTGATCTATTTTTATTTTTTTTATACATATTGAGTGTGTGTGCGCACATAGATGCCTGTGCACATGCTTACTATGGCACGCGTGTGGAGGTCAGAGGACGACTTGAAGAGTCTACTTTCTACTCTCACCATCTGGGTTCAGAGATCTAACACAGTCTGTCAGGCTTGGTGGCCACACCTTTACACACTGAGTCATCTTGAATGCTCTTTCCTTTATTCTTCTTGTCCAGTTGCTCCTCTCTGCTCTTCAGAGTCTTAGAAAATTTAGATTTTTTTTTATACATCCTTGTGAGAACTTTGAATTTTAAGACTGTGTCTACTGTCTTGTGGTATCTAGTTATCCTAAACTAAGTGATAGCTATCACTCAAACATTTAAGAAGAGCATTTTAGACAAATGGAATATGAGGTGCAGAAGATTTTAGATATATCAGAAAAACAAAGGAAAACCTGAATGAACAAGGGACAGAACAGCAGGAGAGTTCGAAGTTCACAGAAAGTGAGTCCTATGAGGCCTTGGCAGCCAATGGTGGAATGTAGCTCCTGTTCTGAAGATCTTTGGAAGGGGACATGATGGGGCTTTCTACAGAGTCACTCTGATGTGCACGATGGATGAGAAATAAATATAAAGGTGTGGTTTCCAGTTTATGCTCATAGATTATGTGATATAGTCACAAGGGAACATTGAGTTTATTGAACCTATACGTTAGCTTTTTTCTTTTTTATGTACATATTTCTTGCATATAGAATAAATTAAGTTAAATTAAACTGAATTAGGAAAATTTAGTTAAATCCATTTGATTGTACAAAAAAGTTGCAATTTGAAAAAAAATTAGCTTTATTGCATTTTCAAAACAGGTATCTATAGGTACGGAATTAGCAAGCTTAGTAAATAGAGCCAAGAAATACTGTAAACTCCTTTAAAAGTTTCACAAGAGATTGGTAAAATCAGCTCAAATCAGATCATACTTGTAAAATGAATTTAATTTTCCTGAAAATTTTTATCTTATAAGTAATGGATTAGTCAATTTAAATTCCAAGTGTACTTAAGAACACTATTTGCTATTTCCAATACAACTGTAAATGATGTCAGCAATTGAGGCGTTAGACTGTTTTATTTTCATTTTAAAAGTAAAATATTTGGGCATGGTAAAGTGTTCATATTGTCTAGATCAATGTTATCTCAAACTTGGGTCTCTAACACATAAGAGAAATAAATAATTTTTAGCATAACACACACACACACACAAACAGAAGATTAAACAAGAAGTCCCATAAACACTTTCACTTTGATAAATCTACCTTTAGCTACTAAACACCACATGGATTTTGCTACCTATCATAGCTCACAATTTAAAATAGCACAGATTTAAAGTAAGGCCACCGTGTATAGAACTTGGGAGCAGGAAGCTCTTTAGGTGGCTGCAGCAGAGGCGTGCACATACCACAAAGGCGTACTTGTTTATCGCTTGGATGACGGTTTTGAAGAGCAGCTTGCTGGTGAGAGTGTAACCGTGGTACACAATGGGTTCGTTTTGTGCGCCGTCCCAGCAGTCAATCTCCAGACAGCGGCAGCCTTTCACCAGGGCACTAGCAAGATGTAGGCAAGATAGTTTCATACCCAGGCCACAAACCATGGGTAGAATAAAGACGAAATATTCAGACTTTTAAAATAAATGCGTAACTTGATGTGTAATAGAGAAAGGCTTTGAATCCTAGAAATTTGCAACCTTATAAACATGTAGAAACATCCATAGAAACATTCTCCTTGTGTCACACACATGGAATCTGGTCCTCCCTACTCAAACATTTCACTTCTAATTGTTCTCTTTACAAAGCGTGTGTACTAGGGGCAAAAAGATGGCTGCCTCTAGTTATAGCTTTGAAGCCTCTGCCCCAACCCAAACAGTATTGCCAATGGTGCTACCACTGCTGACTCTGTCACCATGGTAATGGCATAATACACAAATAATAAAATACTTTAGTATAATTTTATCTAATTCTTTTCATAAAGCCAAGCTTTTGGGAGTATTGGAGGGTGGTGAGTGAAAAAAAAAATGGTGAGAAGGAGAAGGGGGAAAGAGAAATCATGGTCACAGCAAGTGAAAAAGAGTGAGCTTGACAGCCCAGCAAATACACTTGACCTTTTCCCGGACCCTCAGGCAAGGAATGAGCGGATCCTAATCCAGCTACACAAAACAGGAAGCCTGTATACCTGCTCATTGCTTTGACTCACAGTCCCTTTGGAGACAGTTTTGAGTGACTGTTTCAGAATGCACCAATTTCACAGCTTTCTCCAAACTGAGGAAAATACATTCCCACTTCTGCTCAGATCTAAAACTGATTTGATTTTCCATCTATCAAATAAATCAGCGTCTTGATCTACACGTAAATTCTATATTGGGCTTTGAAGTTGGTTGTACCCATTGGGTTTAAATGGATTTTCAGTATTCTTACTCAGAGAGAGACTGACACTTAAATAAACATATACCTTTATCTAAACTGTGGCAACTGGAGTAGATTGCATTCAGATTTTTTCACTGACTTGATAACGGTAAATGTGCACAAACAGAGCTGTTGCTACAGTCTTTGGGGACAGCTTCAGGCAGTCATTTTATGTCAGTGTGAAATAGGTTTACTGGTCTTTACTGCAATTTCTCAATTTAATTATAAAAATTGTTCTGCAATGATGAGGATCCAGCTCAGTGGTAGATGCTTCCCTAAACTGCACAAAGCCTTAGCTCAATCCTCAGGATTACAAAGAGGAAGTTTAGTGAGTCATTCAAATGTACATAATAGAAATAAGATGGGTTTTATTTTTATTTCACATGTATACACAGTTGCTTTAAACTAAGTACACCTTCCTTCTTCTTTTTTTTTTTTCCTGTGCCCATGTCATGACTGAGGGCTAGCATGCTAACACAAAAGCAGTACAACTGACACAGAGAAAAAATACAATCCAGCACAATTGGCTGGACTCCCACGGTGCCACTGTTCATTTTGCTCTGGTGAGTGAGAAGCTGCACGCTCATAAAAACTGTCTGATACAGAATCAACTATTCATCAGTGTTTTGTGTTCATATGAGAAAAATATGGGAGCTCTGGTGTCTAAGAAGAAAAGAAAAGCAGACACAACTAAATTACATCCTTGCAAGAGACAAAGCTACATAAAACCAGGATGAGTTGAAGCTTCAGAGCCCTAGAAGATACCCATTCTGGAATGAGTTGAAGCAATTCTCTTGTCTAAGCATAGAACTGCTCTCTCTGTAGAGATAAGGCTGTTGCTTTCAGGCTAGCTTATGCCATCTGTTTTCTCTAGGTGATCAGTTCTCAAGTAGAGGTCTATTGAGTCCCACATATGTCTAACAATGTCCAGAGCTGGTTTTGGTGGTACATAAATGGATGTTCCTAAACATGCTATCATGCACAGCTTGGACCACTACCTCCAAGACTCATTTGACTCAATCATCAGCATGTAAGATAGTCAGGTTCCATGGCATAATCGCTTGGATCAGGGACTGAAATGCCAGCATAACATGTTTCTGTCAATCAGCAGTCTTACCAAACAGCATACCAGATGAGACGATTATATGAGAAAATATGCTTTCCAGAAAAAAAAAAATATATATATATATATATTTATATATATATATATATTTCTTTGGGTACCTAACTAGTCCCTTTCTGAGGAGCGGAGTTGAGCCAGTCTTGAGAGTGCAGTGAAGAAAGATGAAGCAATTGTGATAACAAGTCATTACACTGCATTCAGGGGAATGATAAGATTGTGTGTTCCCTAGGGCAGCTTGGAAAAAAGAGAATGAGTGAATTTTCTGTGTCCTGGAGGCATGACCAAGACAAAATAAATTAATAAAGTGTTTCTTGGGCCTCTGCAGACTGTGATTTTACAGAATGTACTTCTTTACCCATGTGTGTGATGGTGGACCATAATGTAAAGCTGCAGAGCTCTGGCTCTTTTTCCTGTGCTAAGGGAACGTGTCTGGACGACTCTGAGAAGGGAATTGTTTAACCACCATTGATCCTTGCAGAGGCAGCTAACACGGTGTCTAATTTTAGGATCCTTAAACTGGGATAAGTGTAGACTTATAAATGAACACATGTCTTAGCTTCTAAGTTTTTTAACAAGCATCTAGATTTTTAAATTAGAAAAGATGGAGCTTTTATTTGTATTATTTTCTAATGGCCATGAGAGGACTTTGCTTTGGCCTCCTTTTCAGGTTTATCAAACCAAATTGCTTTATACTCTCATCAATACAGAATACCTGTTCTCTAGAGTTCTACTGGACAATGGACTTGAGCTCTGTTCCAGCAGGAAAAACCATCCAAAACTTGGTGTGAAAGGGAACTTTTAACAAAGATTTTTGTCAACAATGTTGATTCTTGCTGATTCTCTAGATTGCCTCAATTTTACCACTGAATTAACCTTTACAAAAACTGTACCTTCAGAACGTATGCATTGATCCCCACCAAAAAGTGGTTTTACTGTCTGAAGCCAGCCACTTTCTTTCTGAGTCATGTGATTTGTTATTCACTCTGGCTCTTCTCTTGAGAAAGAAGATAGATAATTCCTCACTCACTAAGGAAACACTCTCAGCAGGCCTGTTATCTTCAGCTCACTATAAATCTTATGGCAAGTCCTGTTTTTCCTTAGCTCCAACCGCTACAAGCCCTTTGAGTGGATCTCTGCAGGCCCTGCAGCATGTGTGGAAGACTTTGAGGCATGAAACTGTTACTTCTAACTTTATTTCACCTGTTTTCATTAAAATCTCCCTCAGATGCTGCCTAGAAAACAGGGTATAAATTATTATAGTTTTTATTCATGCGAAGTTACCAGCTGTTGTGTGAGGAGTACTTTTTATTTGTGACTGAATTATAACTGGAAATAAAAAGGGCTGAGTTGTGTCTGGGGTGGGCTGTAGTGATGCGCTCACTTGCCTTGCAGGCAGGAGGCCCTGCATCCTATCTCCTGTACAGTATAAACTATGCATGACAGGAAGCATGTATAATCCCAGCACTTAAGGAGTAGAAGTAGGAGGATCAGAAGTTCAAGATCACCCCCAGCCATGTCATAAGTTCGAGGTGAGCCTAGGACTTTTGACACCCTGTGTTGGCAGTTGTTCTAATGCTGTCCTCAAGATCTGATTACACCCATGCTTGTTTCATAAACCTGCCTATATCTGATTGGTTCATTAAACAGAAACCTGGGCAGGGAAGAATGAGGTAGACGTGGCTAAGATTCCCTGGTTTCAGAGAGAATGACCGAAAACAGAGAGAGGAAGAAGGAGGACACCAGGCTGGCTTAGCCTGGAGAAGAAACCACATGGGGCCAGGAGGAAAGACTCCAATAATGTCACGAAAAGGCTCGGATAAAGAATAAAAGCAAGTATTTATAAGATTATGGACGGAAGATAGGATGGTTAAGGTGATGGCATTGGGTGGGGGCTGGGAGATGGATGCTGATGTGATTCAGACAGCGTAGGTAGGAATATCTGCCCGACCTAAGGTAAATAAGGCAATTATAAAATCTAACAGGTGTCTGTGTCTCATTATTTGTGAAAGCAGGTTAGATAATACTGCCATGATAATCATAGGGCAAATAATAATAAATGTCATATAGCCCAACTCTCAATGAATTTAATACAACAACTCTGTCCCAAAACACAACCCTCACATTTGGAGAATTCTTGGTGGATTAAAACATTTAATGTTAAATATGATGCTTCTAGGTTTTCCTATTTTAAAGTTAAAGTAGAGACACGTGAAGGTCGTAACCATCACAGGATGAGGAGGGGAGAGAAGGGAAAGGACCAGAAATGTACACCCTGACTCTGTTACATCATTTTCATCATTCTCTGAGAGCAAAGGTATTTGGAAGGATGTGTTAAGATTTATCTTCCAAAGGTGTTTCAAGGAACAAGAAAGAAGATTCAACTAAACACAAAGTCATTTTTTGTTTGTTTGTTTTGATTTTTTAAGTTGGTTGAAACAGTTCTTGTATTTTCTGTATGTCTTGATAGATGCATTTTGAACTTATTTCTCTGTTTAAAATATTGGAATAGTTTATCAGGTCTCAACTCCCTAATGTCATCATCTTCCTAAGGTCAGATAGAAGGGGAGGAGGTCCTCCCTTATTAGTGGACTAGGGAAGGAAAAGAAGAGAGAGGGTATGTGGGACTGGGAGGAAAGAAGGGAGGGGACTACAGCAGGGATACAAAATGAATAAATTGTAATAAATAAATAAATAAAATTTTAAAAATTGGAATAGCATGGAAATTTCTACCACACAGTTGTAACTAGGACTATTTACCGAGTTCTAAAATGATTCGATTTTTTTAATATATTTACTTAGATTTTAATTAGGGCATACATTGACATTCACCTATAATTTTATGTTATTATGGGATTCTATCCTCCTTACCTATAGAATTTTCTTTAAACAACATGATCCAGCCTTGTAGCTTTAAATATCACCTACATACTAATGGCTTCCAATTACGTTTGTCCAGCCTGAATGTTTCTTCTGAACTACAAACTCCCATTAAGCTTGGATGCCTACTTGAGAAAGGCCTTGGAAATGGATTAGTTTCACAAACTCAGCACTGGAGCCCTGGAGCTCTTGTTTTGACCTCATTCGTCCCCACCCCACCCCACACCAAAAGTGAGCCTTTAATGTAAACATCAACATTCAATCGTGAGTCTCCCTACTTGGTTACTGGACTAAGCAACTTTATTTCTCTCCCTCCCACCTACTGCTTTCCACACCACCTGTTAAACCTTCTTGGCTCTACCTCCTCAAAGCATCTCAACTTGTCATCATCTTCTGCCCCATGACTTTATCATCTGTAGTCATCAGTATGTTAGCTAGCCTGCTGCGTCTTCCCTGGTCCTCCAGTGTCAAAACTGTGACACTGTCTCAAGGAAAATCTCTCTGGTGACTCGCCTACCTTTCCATGTTCAAAAAGACCTTACAGACTGACTCTCCCATCCTCACGCCAGCCCTTTATTTGCTGCACACTTGCATCCAGATGTTTTTACTATCTTCCAAGATTTGGACATTCCAAGCACTTGCATTTCTTCCTTAAGATGTCCTTCCATGGCTCCCTCTTCACCCTCAGCCAGGTTAGCTGAGAAACCTTCTGTGACAATGTTACGGTAACACCCTCAAGCCCATATCACATTCTGTTATGTTGTTTGGCTTATTGTTCTCATAAGCCTCTCCTGATAATATTCATTTGCCTTTTTTAATCTGCCAAGTCCCATGAATTTGTTTGAAAACAAGTGAGGATTCTAAAAACTCTCATTCCCCGCTGGAGCTCCTCTGAGGAAGCTGAAACCACTGTACCCACTATGAACAGACCTATGTCTTGTAGGATGTAAAGTTGGAGATACTTGGCATGGACTGCTTTAACCTGTGTAAATTAATTAATACGCTGATCCAGAAACACCAAACCATACAACTTATTGTATTTATAAACTGGCTTTTCTTAGAATATTGAGTCCTGATGTCTAGTAATTGATACTAACCACCTTTGTTAAAGTCTAGTGTATTTTAGATAAGCATTTAAAAAGTTGTGTTTTCCTATAAGAAATGTCCAAACTGTTCAAGAACCTTCAGAGTGTGTAGATCTGTGGAGAAGAGGTCAACAGGAAGGGCCAGAGGGGAAGCCTGGGATGCTAGCTAGCACACACAGAATGTTACATTGCTGTTTCATGAAGGACAGATCATCAAGGTAGGAGCGAGCCATGTTCCCTATAAATTTTGTTTTCAAGCACAATCTCCTTATCACTCTGCCCTCTGCTGAGTTAGTACCAGCAGCAGCTCTAAATGTAAGAGGCTTAAAAGCCAAAGCAGTTATTATGGTGGCACATATAGGTAGGGTACATTGGATAGGCAAAGGCAGGAGCACACATTGTTCTCGCAGGGGGCTTGACTTTGATTCCCAGCTCTCACATCCAGTGGCTCACAACCACCTGAAACTTCTGCTCCATGGAGATCTAACGCCCTCTTCTGGTCTCTGTGGGCATCTACACTCATAAGCATATAATGACACACTAACACATACACATAAAATGAAAACAAACAAACAAACAAACCTGTTTTTTAAAGAATTGAAATAAACAATGGGACAGAGCTAGACCCCCCTACACATATGTAACAGTGGTGCAGCGTGGTCCTCATCTAGGACCCCTAACAGCAGAAGCAGGGGCTGTCTTAGACTTTGTTGCCTGCCTCTGGATCCCTTTCCCTTAACCTGATGGCTTTGTCTAGCCTCAATAGAAGAGGCTACTGCCCTACTGTAACTTAATATGCTGAGGCAGGATGATATCCTTGGAAGGCCTCCTCTTCTCTGAAGAGAAAGGGAAGGGAGTGTGGACAGGGGAGGGGAGAGGGAGGATCTGGAAGGAGAAGAGAAAGGGTGAGCTGTGATTGGGATGTAAAGCTAATTAATTAATTTAAAAATTAAAATTAAAAAGGATTCAGAATAAATACCTTATATATCCCCAAAGGTCACTTGGTCCCAGTAATTGATCAGATATCAAATATGTGTTGTGAGAAGATGAAATAAAATAATCCTTTAATGGCTGATTCATATCTTGATATACTGCTTTACAATCCTCTTTAAATATTAGACAATTTGATGAAAACATATATCTTACAAAACCTTCAAATGACATCTGCTGTTCATTCTTCACTATAAAAGAATAAGTAGAACAGATGCAGATATTCCATTAGTAGCTTACAGTTTTATATTTCATTTGTAAATATAGTGGTAGAACATATTTATAATTAATATTAATCTATTTATAAATCTTTCTGTGCATATAAATTCTTATCTGTGCATGTGTCTGTGTCTGGCTGTCTGCATATATATACATACATATATATATACAGTCCCTGCAGAGGCTGGAAGAGGGCATTCGCTCCCTTGGAACTGGAGTTACAGGTGGTTGTGAACCATAATGTAGGTGCTGAGGATCAAACTTGGGTCCTTTGGAAGACCAGCAAGTACTCTTAACCACTGAGCCATCTCTTTAACCCTGATAAACAAATTCAAGTTCTTTAGTTCTACCCTACCAATAGCTAAGCATCTATTATTTCATTACCGTTGATTTTTTACTTCATAAATACTTCAGGTATGCCTGTTATCGAGTAACAAGCTTCAATGTCTAGCTAACAGTCCAAGAGCAGACCGCTGTGACACCCAGACACCAGCCCATGCTCACTCACTGGTCGTTGTCCCAGCTCATTGCATGGACATGTAAATCATCGGTTAGTTTTCTTTTTTTTTGTACTTTATATGGATTAATTCATAGTGTACGTTTTTTTGGGTTCTTTTAATATTTTTAAATTTTTAATTTATGTGTATGTGCACATGTGTGTATATATGCATGTGAATACAGCATATGCTTTTTAAACATTCTCACTCCTCTGTGTGTGTGTGTGTGTGTGTGTGTGTGTGTGTGTGTGTGTAGGCTCACATCTATACAGGTGTCTGTGGAGGCCAAAAGAGGCTGTGAGACCCCCTGTTGCTATAGTTACAGGCAGTATGGGTACGGAACCTTAACCCTGGTTCTCAGCAAGAGCAGCAAATGTTATAAAGCAGTGAGCCGTCTCTCCAGCCCAGTGTGTGTTTTTGTGCCTGGTTTCCGTTGCTCTGTTTGTGAGATTTATTCCTGTGCTTGCCTTCAGCTGCGTGCGGCTCACTGCCACTGTTTCCTATAGAATTTCATAGCCCCAGTGTGCTGTGCTTCTCGTGAGCATTCTAGCCTCCGTGAGCGCGTGACTTCCTGCGAGAAGCTGTCCTGGCAGTGCTGCTGTAAGCGACCAGTGCACATATACACACTGGAGTGGGAGCACGCATTTCCGCTCGTGCAGCCCAGACTAATCACCTGCAGCTCGTTACCTCTCGACTTTGTACTCACTATTTGTGCACCCACACTGCACATGTGCTCTGGATCCAGAAAACCTGGTTCTAAATGTGTTTGCTTGCTCTGTGACATGGACACTGGTTAAGCTCTCCAAATCCATGCAAAGTGGTTACCAGAAAGCTTGTAGAGAGCTTGTAGGTTACCGAACGTAGAGAGATTTTTTTTTTTTTTTTAGCTCTGCAGATGCCCATTGCTTGTGTTGCTGTTGACTGCAGCTCAGCTCAAAGGGAAAGAAGAAATGCAGATTCACTTTAGAGTGTGGTGTTTTCACATTAAGAGTGTGGCCATTTCACTATAGAGTACCAGCCTTTCTCTTTAGAGCCTGGGCCTTTCCCTTTGACTAGTCTCTAGGGTAGGGCCTGGTCCTTAAGCCAAGTTAATTTCTAGGAACTAGTCCAGCAGAAGACAAAAGGTGGTGTGCACACATCCTAACGTTAGCTTTGTTTACAAAAGCAGAATAAAGAGGGGGAAGGAAACAAACAAAAGCACAGACTCAGTAAAGTGCTCAGTAGCCATTAAAATTAATACATCAGAAACATGTAGTGATATAAGTCAGCCAATGTTTATGACATGATGGAAGTGAAAGGACAGCTTTCAAAACACTGTCACTAAAAGAACAGTAAACCAAAAGAAATCCTGCAATTCCTATTTTGGTCAAAAAATAAAATCTAGAAGAAAACACATAAAATTTGATACACAAACTGTCTCAAAGCCATATAAATTCAGGAATATGGAGATTTTTTCAGAACAAGACCATCATGAAACATAACAATAGTTCGCATTAATTTATTCATTGGATTCAGCTTGTAGTCCTTTTGAGCTGTTTAATAATTAAATAAATTTATTTAATAATAGAATATAAAACAAGGGACTAGGGAGATGTCTACTTTGGTAGTGTTTGTTGTTCAAGCATCAAGACCTGAGCACAAACTCCAACACACATTTTAGAAATAAAAGGCATGCCTTTAATCCCAGCACTGTGGAGGCACAGACTGGAGGATCCGGGGCTTGATGGTCACAAGCGTAGCCAAACTAGTGACTTTCAAATTCTGTGAGAGACCCCACCTCAAAACATAAGGTAGAGAGCAAATGGGAAGATACCCAACATCAACCTCTGTATCACATCTGTACACACGAGTACATACACACACAGTAAAAGGAGACGATAAAAAACAAAACCATTTTGTGCACATAAAACCACTGGAGAGAGCTCACAAGATGGCTCAGCAGGCAAAAGTACTTGATAGTCAAGCTTGAGTTCCATCCCTGGAACCCACGTTAGAAGAAGAGCCAACTCCTGGAAGCTGCATTCCTCCACACACATGCTTACACACACAAATAAATAAATTTACAAATACTTTCTAAAACTACCAGGTTGTGATGGAAGTTAATCTGAAGGATTTTCTTGAAAGGCTAACTTGTCACATGTGACATGCTGACATGTGATGCAATCAGGGAGTTGCCTATTAAGTGTCTCAAAAGATGAGAGGGAGAACACAGCAATACCCCAATTAAAATGAAGCCGCAGCTCCACAGTCACTGTCCTTTTTGTATATTTAATTTAGCACCCAGACATGACAGTGTGAGCATGAGTTTTTTACAGTGTTCACATGTGATGATACTGAAAGCACTCATCTGCAAATGGCTTCTAAGCAATAGCCACATAAAGGGCTTCAGCCGCACCATCCATCAATTCACAAGCATCCTTAGAGAAAGCTTGCTACAAGAAGGAAAGGTCAGCAGAACTTCCCAGCTAGTGCTGGCGACACAGCTGTTAGCTGCTTTACCTACTGGTGCAGGTTCTTTAAAGGCAACAAAGGTCAACGGGTTCAGGCCAAGAAGAGGCTTGTGCTGTCTCCATCATGTCAGCACGGCGTGTGTACTGTCCTCCCTGTCTGCAGCATGCTGGCCTGATGCCCCAGCCCTAACTCTGGGCTGGAAGCTCCTCCAGGATTTGCCTCTACCAGTCTCTGAAATTCACCTCCCCCTCATGTCCCAAGCGCTAACCACCTCATCAGGGAAGATGCTCATGGAAGTAAGATGGCAGTTAACACAGAGACCCTCACCCAGGAGTTTGTGGACTTGCACAGCCCTAAATGGGACATAAATATCACAGAGATCCCCATAAGGCTCAGGGATTTTGGGGAGAGAAAGGATGAAAATATTGCCAGAGCCAGGAGTGATAGACATCAAGAAAAGACAGTTTTGAGGCACAACAAGGCAGCTGCATATGTGAGCTCAAGCCACACAGTAAACACACTGTTACACATTCCCATTCCTCTGACACACACACCCATTGTGACACAGTGCCTTGCCACAAGTGTGGAGCATCAGAGCAAAGCATGGACCAAGAGCTCTAAACACATGGATCAACATCAGTGTCTTCTTGTTACAAGCTGATCATCTCGGATGTGGGGTACAGTGATGGGAAAGACAGCATGTAGTCAATAGTGCTGGTCCAGAGAGACCATAATTTTGCACACCTGTTTTCATGTAATTCTTATGCACCCATTTCACAAGCCCATGTTGTCTTATTTAAGCATATTTAAATAGCAACGTGAATAAGAAAGCAGACTGTCTATAATTGTTTTGGTTTCATCCTATTTTGTATTTTTTTTCATCATATCAGTGAGATTAACACACATATATAATATTTAATTTGTGTATGTATGTGAGTGCACAGACACATACATGCACACACATACACACACATAAACATACATATATTATGTTGTTGGGGTATTTTTGTGCGTTGTGTATTCAAATGTTGATTTCTGTACCCAGAGATCGGGTTGCAGTCCTGACTTTAGCACTGTAATTTTTATGAAGCATCTTCTCTCTCAATGTGTTTTAAACATTGTTTTCTATCACCTTCTGATTGGTCAAATAAAATGCTCAACCCGGTGGCTGGGCTATAAAGTTAAGGTGGGACATCTGGAGCCCAGAGGGGTGGGGAAATCTTAGATGGGGCCCAGAGAAGTCGCCATCAGAACACAGATGAAGGAGGTGGTATCAGGACAAGACTTAGATGGCAGGTAACAGGACACATGGCTGGGAAGTAGGCCAGGCCAGAATTATCAGGTTAGAATAGATGAGCATATGCCCAGCTATAGAGCCTTAAGCTTCTAATAAAATTAACAAGTCTCCTTGTCATTATTCAGAGGAAGAATGGGCATGGAAAGCCACACATTTATATTACATTTTGCTTTCACAGTCGAGGATCTGAACATGTCAGAAGTTCACTTAAAAGAAGAATCTGGCCAGCAGAGTAGAGATGCTTACCATTGCTGCACATTATAGCTGCAGAAAAAAAATATATGTATGTATATATATATATATATATATACATATATATACATTCTATGAATACAAAAACAAAATTTTATACTTTTAGAAGGTCATCTACCCCCCAATTTTAATTTGATGACTATAACTTATAAGAGCACTTTACATATGAATATACTGATAGGTTTTAACTGGAAACAGAGCTTACCTTCATCTATGGGCTCATACTTTTTGATAATCTCAGTTGAAAGGGAGTGATTTTCTATCATCTCATACTGCTCTTGGGTTAAAAACTTGGTCAGGTTTTTTTCAGAAAGAATTTTCCGATTCTCAGAATATGTGTTGAAAATCTCAAGAATTTCTTCTCGGTAAGTAATAGATCGATAAATGACTCTAAATTCTTCTATGGTGATTTTTCCTTGTTTCAGTCCGTCATTTTCCTACTAAAAAAAAAAGAAATGACGGTGGGCTTATAGTGGAAGAACCAAAAATACAAAGTAAATTTCACAGTATTCATGCACTGTATGATAATTCATAAAAGTTAGAACTTACACTGGATCTTTATTGAAGATAAAATGCAATAACCTGTGTGGAGTAATGCTAAAGTCAGGAAAAGGTTAAAAGCTGGTCAAGACAAAAGAAGGTAGAGAGGGGTGCATGGGAAGATAAGGATTTTAAGATGTTTTCCAATTATGCATTCCTTTTGTGTACTCTATTACACTTCTGTTCCTTCTTAAAGCCACATCCGGCCATGATCGTGTGCTGATGATTCATAGCCTAGACTATAAATGTCAGAACCATTCAAGATTGTGGTAGACTGTGGAGGATTCAGTCATTAAAAAGCACCTTGAAAAGAATTCTCTGGAATTATAGGGTTTGGTACAGGAATAAACAAGACTAGTTTGACCAAGAAAGAGTGGATTCATCTGACAGTTGTAGAAAATTAATATTTAAATCCTATGAGATGAAAGATAAGGACATTGGCTGGACACTGGCTTTAAAAGTGAAACAAACAAAACAAAAAAATCAAACACTGTGTCGATGAGGTCCTGAATCAGAAAATGATTAGCCAAAGTAAAAAATAGAGCCAAGAACGTGGCTCAGGTTGGGGCTGTTTGCCTACCATGCACGGGGCTCTGCATATGATCCCCACTAACACAAATTTAACCGAGTGGTGCATGTCCATAATCACAACATATGCCTGTGAGAGCATGAGGGTCAGAAATTCATAGTCATCCTCAGCTACGCAGCAATTTCAAGACCAGACTGGGTGACATGAGACTGACTCAAAATATTAAAATTTCAAAAGAATAAATTAAAAAGTGACAGTGGTATAATTGTTGATTAACAATTGCAAGCTATGGAAAACTGCAGAAAATGCAATGGAAGCAGGAAATGGTAAACACACAATAAATACTGTTATCAGCAAAATTATGAAAGAACTCATAAGCGATTGAAGTTACAAAGATTGTAATCACAGTAACAGAATTTTCATATTGCAGTGAGCAAACAAAAAACCCACTTGGGAACAGAAGTTTCAACTGAGGAGTTTTAATTTAAAAAGAACTTTCTTAGAAAGTACACTGGATGACTTCAGTGCACTTGTGCACAGGGTATCTGACAAGCAGGTGAGCAGAGACTGCTGACCAGGCAAGTAGCCTGGCTGCAAAATCCAAAACACCATCATCTGTGTTCCCTGGATAAAAGGAGACTTCCCAGGAGCTAGGTTCACACAGTCCCAGAGCCTGGTGGACAACTCCCAGACCCAAGGGATACACAGTCCCCCAGCGCCCTCCACCTAACTGAACACAACTCCCAATGTGGTTCCAGATTCTGATCACCAGATTCCTCCAGCTCCCCAGGGGTCAGTGCCACCTCCAAACACCAGGCACATAATCCCAGCCTCTGACACATGTCTGGCTCTGGAGATCAGCCAGACAACAGGAACATACAGAATCTGGTTCCAAGATGATAGAGCACAGTGCCCAGAGATCAAGAACTGCAAGTGAGCAAAGGCCCAGGCTGCTGACTCTGAAAGGCTAGCATGTCCCCACACACACAAAGAAGAGGAGAACCCAGCACCCAGACATGCACGGATCCAGTCTCAGATTTCTGGGCTAACCCCCCACCTGAGGATGACTCTAGATTCCAGAGATGTGCAAACCTAGCCTATAGATCACAGCTCTACCAGCAGCCCTGAGCAGACATAACAAACCTCAGGTTCACACAAGGTAAACACCCTCATTCTAATCCCCCTGCCTATAGCTCCAACTGTTAAGAGAAGAGAAAAGCTTCAAGCGTATCACAGAGATCTAGTCCCCCAGCATACAACACAGGCAGGACTCCCCCTCCATGCCTGAAAATCCCAGCTGGCTCCAGGAATTACTAGCCAATGCCAGCGACAAACAGATGGCTAAAGGCCAGTGTAAAATTCAATCAACAAAAGCCAGGGCAAGATGGCTCCACCAGAGGCTGGAACAATGGATATCCTAATGCAGCCAAAATACAGGAAAATGACTGTAAATCTATACTTATAAAGATATTGAAGTACTTTAAATAGGAAACGATTAAATCCCTCAAAGAAATACAAGAAAATATAATCAAACAGAGGCCATCAAAGACATACAGGAAAACACAATCAAATAGGTGAAGGAAATGACCTGAAAATGGAAATAAATTCAATAAAGAAAACACAAACTGAGAAAATCCTGAAGTTGGAAAACATAGAGCAGGAGCTACAGAGGTAAGCATCACCAACAGAATATCAGAAATACAGGAGACATGCAGAAGATACAACTGAAGAAATTGACACATCTGTCAAAAAAATTAAATCAAAAAATTCCTGACACAAACATCCAAGAAATCAAAGACACCATGAAAAGACAAAACCTAAGAATAATAGGAATAGAAGAAAAAGAAGACTCCTGGCTCTAAAGACCAGAAAACAGTTTCAACAAAATCATAAAAGAAAATTGCCCCAACCTAAAGAAAAAAAATGCCTTTAAACATACAAGAGGTTTACAGAACACGAAATAGATAAGACCAAAAAAGAAATTCCTCCTACCACATAATAATCAAAACACTAAATGTACAGAGCAAAGAAAAAATGTTAAGGCTGCAAGGGGAAAATGTCAAGCAACATATAAAGGCAGACTGACCAGAATCACACCTGACTTCTCAACAGAGACTACGAAAGCCAGAAAGGCCTGGACCCTAACAGAACACAGATGTCAACCCAGACTACTATACTCAGCAAAACTTTCAATCAACATAGATGAAGTAAACAAGATATTCCGTAACAAAACCAAATTTAAGCAATGTCTATGCACAAACAGAGCCCTTCCAAAGATACTAGAAGGAAAACTTCAACCAAAGGAGGTTAACAACACCCAAGGTAACACAGGATATAAATTACTTCACTGCAACAAAACCAAAAGAAACATTACCACCACCAACATTAACATAAAAGGTACTGACTAACAATCATTAGTCAATAATATCTCTCAATATCAAAAGACTGAACTCTCCAATAAAAAGACACAGACTAGCAGAATAGATGTATAAAAAGGACCCAACACTCTGCTACATACAAGAAACACACTTAAGCAACAACGAAACCTCTACCTTAGAGTAAATGGTTGGAAAAATATTTTTCCAAGCAAATGGACCCCAGAAACAAGCTGAAGTAGCCACACTATATCTAATAAAATAGATGTCCAACCAAATTAATCAGAAGAGATTTTTCATCAAAGGAAAAATCCACCAAGGGGACATCTCAATTCTGAATATCTATGCCCCAAATACAGGGGCATAGATTCATAAAACAAACATTTTTAAAGCTTAAAACACACATCAATCTGCACACATTAATAGTGGGAGACTTCAGTACCCCTCTCTGACCAATGGACAGATCATTGAGACAGAAACTAAATTGAAAAATGATAAAACTAACAGAGGTCATGAACCAAACAGATCTAATAGATTTCTACAGAACTTTTACCCAAACATAAAAGAATATGCCTTCTTCTCAGCAATTCATAGGACCTTCTCCAAAATCGACCACATAGTTGGTCACAAAGCAAGCCTCAACTGGTACAAGAAAACTGAATTAACTCATTGTATCTTATCATATCATCATTGATTAAAGCTGGATTTCAACAATAATAGAAATGACAAAAAAAAAAAAAAAACCAACCTACAGACTCTTGGAAACTTAACAACTGCCTACTCAGTGACCACTGAGTCAGGGATGAAATAAAAAAAGAAATTAAATACTTGCTAAAATTTAATGAAAATGAAGACACAACACACCCAAACTTATGGGACACGATGGAAACAGTGATAAGAGGAAACCACATAGCACTGTCTTCATAAAGAAATTGGAGAGTTCTCATACTAGCAAAATAACAGCTCACCTGGAAGCTCTAGAAAAAAAAGGAAGTAAACAAACCAAAGATGAGTAGATGGCAGGAAATAAACTCAGGGCTGAAATCAATAAATTAGAAACAAAAAGAACAATGCAAAAAAATCAACAAAACCAAGAGCTGGTTCTTTGAAAAAAATCAACAAGATAGACAAAGGAGCCAAACTAACTAAAACACAGAGAGATAGTATCCAAAACAACAAAATAAGAAACAAAAAGGGACATTAACAACATTGACAAAATCTGAAGAATCATTAAGTCTTACTTCAAAACATTGTACTCAACAAAATTGGATAATCTAAATGAAATGGATAATTTTCTTGATAGACTCCACTTATCAAAGTTAGATCAAGATCAGGTAAACAAATTAAATAGTCCTATGACTCCTAAAGAACTAGAAGCAGTCATCAAATTCTCCCATCAAAAGAAGCCCAGTGCCAGATGGTTTCAGCACAGACTTCTACCAGACTTTCAAGAGGGAGCTAATACCAATACTCCTCAGACTATTCCACAAAACAGAAAGAGAACATTGTCAAACTCAGTCTATGAGGCCACAGTCACCCTAATACCTAAACCACACAAAGACCAGGCAAAGAAAGAGAATTTCAGACCAATTTCCCTTGTGAACATTGATGCAAAAATACTCAATAAAATACCCGCAAACCAAATCCAAGAACACATCAAAAATATCACCCATCATGATCAAATAGGATTCATCCCAAGCATGCAGGGAAGGTTCATTATATGAAAATTCATCAGCATAATCCACCATATAAAAAAAAACTGAAAAAGAAACCACATGATCATCTCATTAGATGCCAAAAAAATATTTGACAAAACAACTCCCTTTCATGATAAAAGTCTTGGAAAGATCAGGGATTCAAGAAACATAACTAAGGATAATAAAGGCGATATACAAGCAAGCCTATTGCCAGCATCAAATTAAATGAAGAGAAACTTAAAGCAATTCCACTGAAACCAGTGACAAGACAAGGCTGCCCATTCTCTCCATATTTC